CACACACCCTACTCACTCAGACCGGGACCTTTTAGACTTAGACCTGCCAATTAACCTAAAATGCACATCTCTGGGATGTGGGAGGAAACATCAGTACCCAAGAAAACCCAGACAAAAGGAGAACACGCAAACTCCACAAAGACAATGGGCCCAGCCAAGAATCCATTTTTTCTCCTAAATAACAAAATGACTTTGAATGAAACAAAGACCTGCTATATTTTGTAGTTCTCTGTGTAGACCTCCTCCATATCTTTTGTTAGATTTGTTCTTAGATACTGATGTTTAATGAGACATAAGTAGAAAAGGTTTTTTTTTTTTTCAATTTTTCAACCACAGTGAATATTGCAATATTCACTTCATTTTGGTATATTGGCCTGGTATCGGGCACCTTGCTAAATTTATCTAGGCTAATATCTGTTGAATATTTTTTTGTTAAAAAAAAAAACATCAGGGCTTGGCATAGTGGCTCACACCTGTAATCCTAGCACTTTGGGAGGCCTAGGTGGGAGGGTCACTTGAGGCCAGGTGTTCAAGACCAACCTGAGCAAGATTGAGACCCCCATCTCCACAAAAAATGAAAAATTAGCCAGACATGGTCGTATACACCTATAGTCCCAGATACTCAGTACACTGGGGCAGGAGGATGGCCTGAGCCCAGGAGTTTGAGCTTACTGTGAACTATGATAATGCCACTGCACAAAAGCCTGGGTGACAGACTGAGACCCTATCTCAAAAAACAAAAAAAAAAATCAGGGCTTCTATAACTAATGACTTTTGATAAATTTTCTTTTTCTTTTTTTTGTAGTACATAATACTTAAATGACCATTAAAGATAAATTTTCTTTCTTCATTTCACTGGTTAGGGAGCAGGCCAATGTTCATAGAGGTGATAGAGGGCGCCCCTCTCAAACGCAAGCAGAATGATTTTGCTATAGCTATTTTGTAAAACTTTTTCACATCAAGGATATTTCCTTATATTCCCAGTTTATTATATGCTTTTTTTTCAGTAATGAATACTGACTTTTATTAAACATTTAACGTACCTACTGAAATGATTATATCATGCTTTCTTATCATATCATGTTAATGTAGTAAATTGATTTTTTGGATTTTAATCCAACCCTCCTGCATTTTGGAAATGAACGCCACTTGTTTGGGATGTATTGTTTTCCTTATATGTGAATAGTTTTGATTTCAAATATTTTGCTTTGGATTATTTTAATGTACTTGTACGATTTTGTTATCAGAAAAGTATTGACCTCGCTAACTAAAATGAGTAGCGTTCCCTCTCATTCTATGCTCTGAGAGAACAGCATAGAATCTATATTTGGGTAAAATTAGAGTTCTGTTTTTCTTTAATGTCTGGTGTAATTCATCCATAAAATTATCCAGGTCTGATGTTTTGGTTGATTTGTTTTTCTTTAATTATGCCAGTAGTGCAATTAATACATATCTCTTCTATTTCTAGCTTGTAGTCCTTAAGAATCCACTAATTGTTGAAACAAATCCCCAGAGACATATAAGACACCAGAGAGTGAAGCGTCAAAATTGAGTCTGAGCAATCTTGCTAAGAATGGCTTTAGATCTGAGAAACTCATTTCAGTGTGAACCAGCTGGGAATGATCTTGGATCAGAAACTCTAGAGTTTAAACCAACCCAAAGACTTGTTGTCCAGAATGAAGAAGGGGTTTCTAAGTTATCAAGCACTCAATGTGACTCATTTCAAAACAGCAATAACTCATGTGCAAGGCAGGAATTGCGAAGACTCTATGAGTTTTTTCACTCATGGCTGCAACCAGAAAAGCACAGCAAGGATGAAATTATTTCTCAATTGGTCCTGGAGCAGTTTGTAATTAGTGGACACTGCAATGACAGGTCCATTTTGAAAGAGAAATGGGAGTCAAGTGGCAGAGACCTGGAGAAATTCTTGGAAGAAATGACCGACGATTGTATGAAGTCACCTGTCTTAGTAAGTAGAGTTCTGACCTCTGAGGTGAGGGAAAGAGGGGAGTAAGGAACAAGTACAGTAGGTTGGAGGTGCCTAGAAGTATAGAAAGAAGTTATTGTAGGTCCAGTTATTAGTCAGATCACACTCTTTCTCACCAAGGAGGATCCCCATAGTCCTAAATTCTCATGAAAAAGAAGCACAAAGGCATCTACCCATTCTGTATGACATAAAGGAGCCAAATGTATTGATTGTTTAAGTTAATTAATTTTAGCCAGTATGGTGCCAGATTGAGAAATTGACATTTGAGCAGAGATCTCAAGGATGAGGAAGAAATGCTTTGAAAAAAGCTGGTTCTTCCTTTGGGGAGCCTTAATCAGGAAAGACATAGTAACAAGACAATTACAGGGAATCCTCATTATCAGATCCCGTATTTGCAAAATCGCTAAAATTCATTTGCAACCTCAAAATCAAATACCTGAGACATGTTCATCATCATCTGCAGACATGGGCAGAGTGGCAAAAAATTTGAGTTCCCTGATAGACATGTTCCCAGGTGAGGTTGGACACTGACTTCTTATTTTAGCTCTCAGACTGTAAACAAGTGTCCTTTTGACAGTCTATTTAGTGCCATATTTTCACACTTTTGTGCTTGGTGATGATTTAGTTGTTTAAAATGACAAGCAAGTATAGTGCTGAAGTGCTGTCTAGTTTCCTAAGTGCACGAAAACTGTTATGTACCTTGTGGAGATAATAGGTGTGTTGGCTAAGTTTCATTCAGGCATGAGTTACAGTGCTGTTGGCTCTGAGTTCAGTGCTAATTAATCAAGAATATATATTAAGCAAGGTGTCTTCAAATACATACATAAAACAAGGTTATGTATTGATCAGTGGACAAAAATATTGTGGCCAGAAACTCCAGGAAACTGTATTTTCCCTAGGGGCAATGAGTCGATATTTGCCAATTCAGTGTCCATGTTGTTAGAACATAACAACAGCTTGTGAACAAGAATAACACCATCAGAAATAAGGACAGGACAAAAATATGTGGTATTCCATGGTTGGGAGCTTGTGAAAGCCTGTTGAGGGCGGGTTTTCCAAAAAGGCTTCTGTCACACAACAAATTCAGATACAACAGTGATCTGGCTTTGTTTATAGGTCCATGTCTGCATGCAGGGACAGGAAGCTCTGTTTTCTGAGAATATGCCCTTGAAAGAAGTCATTGTTCACCTTACAAAACAGTCGTCAGCAGGAACCCCAGCAGCAAAGAATATGGGATCACACTTCCGGACTCCCCAGGATACTCCCTTGGAAACAGGACAAGGTGAGTCGGGTGAATCTGCACACCACAGGGATGTTATACCCCTTCTCGGGTACGACTTCATTGAGTAACTTCTTCATTTTCACAGGACAAGAAGATAAAGAAGATGGCTGCAACGTGTCTATGAAAACTACGCAAGTAAATGACAGTGTTACTAGTCAAGGCGATCAAATATCCTCCCTACTCATTACCCGGAAAGTGAATGGTCCCGGGCCTGAAGAGGAAGGTGTTTCTTGTGAAAACCCACACAACTTCAGAAGACAAGGGCTAGGCAGCTCCAGGCCCCAGCAAGGGGCCCTCAAGGGTCCCTCTTATCAAGATGTCCCTATGGATGTGGGGCCAGGGTTTCTTTCCAAGCCAGACCAGTCCTCCCCCGAGCCTGTCCCTAGCAAGCAGAGCAATGAGGGAAACTCCACATGTGGGGAACACCAAGAAAGATTCCATGGAGCTCAAAAGTCATATCAATGTGAGAAATGTCCCAGGATCTTTAAATATCTCTGTCACTTCTCAGCCCACCAGAGAAGACACAAAAATGAGAGGCCGTTTGTTTGTTCTGAGTGTCACAAAGGCTTCTTCCAGGTATCAGACTTACGCGTGCATCAGATCATTCACACGGGAGAAAAGCCTTTTGCATGCAGCATGTGTGAAAAGTCCTTCAGCCACAAAACCAACCTGCGGGCTCATGTGAGAATCCACACAGGAGAGAAGCCCTATGCTTGTTCCCTCTGCCACAGAAGCTACCGCCAGTCATCCACATACCACCGCCACATGAGGATGCATGAGAAAATTACCCTGAAAAATGTTCCCTCCACACCAGAAGCTTCCTAAGCTACTGGTCTGATGTAATGTGTATAAATATGCATGCGAGTATGTATTATTCCATAGTACTTACCTACTTAGAACATAAGGCATAATTTCCTGATTAAGCTTTCCATTTATTGTCTCACTCTATTAAAATGCAAGGCTAAAGAGGGCATGGAATTTGTCGGTTTTGTTCACTAAAGTATCTCTCCAAGTGCTTAGAAAAGGGGCTGACACATTTCCAACGACCAATAAATATGTTCAATAAAGGAATGAATCATGATGTTGATGTTTATTCCTTAAAATCCAGGAATGCGGCCAAGTACAGTGGCTTCTATCTGTAATCCCAGCACTTTGGGAGGCCAAAGTGGGAGGATCAAGGATCACTTGAGGCCAGGAGTTCAAGACCAGCCTGGGCAACACAATGAGACCCCCCATCTCTACCTCCAAAAAATAAAAATTAAAAAAATTTAGCTGGGCAAGGTGAAGTGTGCCTGTAGCCCTACTTACTAGAGAGGCTTAGGCAGGAGGATTGCTTGGGCTCACTGGCAGGACTTTTGAGTCGAGACAAGTCAAGAAACGAGAGTGAGAATGAGAGGCCGGGAAACGAGAAGGAGCTTGTGAGCTTCCACTCACCAGGAACAGAATATTTCGGGGCGTGGATTTTGGAGTCAACAAGGAAGACCCGAGTCCCGGTCTGGTGTCTCTCTCTCAGCTTGGTTCAGGAGGGTCCGGGCAGACAATGACCTTACCTCGGCTGAGCTAGAGCGCTCTGCCTCCACTCCAGGATCAGAGATAAGTTAGAGGGGGACCCCTGCATGGCTCGGGACTTGTCCTGGCCACCTCGTCATAGACAAGGGAGGTTACCTGGCTCTGAAGGACTCTTAGTCTACCGGGGAGACTGACCTCTCTCAGTTTAGTCAAAGATTCATGGAAACCTTACTGGTGACCCAGGGGCTCAGAGGAAGGTAGGATTTGGGAGTTAGCCCAGGATGAGCTGCCGCCGCCTACTGCTTCCTGAGTTGCAAGCCTTGCCTGCTAGAGACCCAGAGGTCGTGTCCACCCCGTGTGCCCTCCCGGGTTTTGGCACCAAATGTCAGGTCCAGAGCCAAGAGAGAGAGAGACAGAGAGAGAGAGAGAGAGACACGAGGCTTGTGTCTCTCTCGGCTCCGGACCTAAGGAAAACCACAATGAGATATCACATTGCACCCGCTAGGATGGCTGATATTTTTAAAAAGTGCTAAGAGAACAAGCATGAACAAGAAAAGAAAAGAAAAAAAACACAGAAAATAACAGGCATTGGCAAAGATGTAGAGAAATTGGAATCCTTGTACACTCTTGGTGAGAGTGCAAAATGGTCCAGCCACTGTAGAAACCAATACAGTGGTTCCTCAAAAAATTAAAACCAACTAATCAGCCGTGCCAATTCCCCAGCGTCCTGTCCTTCAAATTCCCCTTAAAAATCTCCAACCTAGAGTTTCTTGGGGAGACAGATTTAATAAATTTTTCCCATCTCCTCATCTAGCTGTCCCATGATTATTAAACTCTTTCTCTGGGGCAACTCTTGCTGTCTTAGTTCATTGGCTCTTCTCTTGTGCAGCAGTCAAAAAGAATCCGGTTGGCTGATTACATGAGTACATAGGCATGAGAGGTGTTCTCTGTGGGAACCAGAGGCAGAGATGCCCTCTTGTGCTGTGCTTCATGGTGGCCTAAACATCCCTCCTTATCTTCCACCTCATGGCTCTGACCTGAATCTTGTTTTGTCTTGTCCCTGACTGTACGTAGAGAGTTACAAAATTGACTTTAACGCTTCTCACTACCTGCATTTGAATAGCAGTAAGAAAATGTTTGCTACGGTCCATTAAGACTAGACATATTTTGTGTCTGTACGTCTCCGTGGAATATGTGCATTTGGAGCTGCACCCTTTGAGGTCATCTGAAATAATATTTTTGGCCACGGGGAGCACGCTGAGCTTCAGGGAGTATGAAATTTCTCTCAAGAGTCTAAACACTTAAGTGATCAGCTACAGACAACACTCCCCAGAAATCTGGAAACGGCCCCTTTAAGAAGGGGTGAGAGCCTCCCTCTCTCCCGGAGGGTGAAGTCGCCAGTAGCCAGCACTGTGCCCAGCGTGTCACTCCCTGTGCGCGCAGAGGTCAAGGCAGGGGAGCGCTCCGAGTAGGCCCGTGGAGTTTTGGAAACTACACTACCCAGAGTGCAATGCGCTAAATGGCAGGGGAGCTGATCCAATGAAAACTCAGGACAGGGACGCTTCCGTGCATGCTCATCGCGATGGGATGGGACTTCCGGCATCCTCCTCGTGGCGGTCATTTTGGCTTCTCTCTGGTCTTTTCACCTCGCTGGGAGCTCCGGAGCGCTGCGTCCGGACCCGGGTGACTGGACGGAGAAGGCGCGAGGGGCGGGTCTGAGGATCTGCGACGCCGCCGCGCATGGCCTGGCCAGGCACAGGATAGGGACCGCCGTGTCTGGGTCCCCCGCTCCGCCCACAGAGTTCGATGGCGGCGGCCGGGCTGAGGGACGCGGCTCAGGTCAGTGCCGCGTCCTCCGAGCCTCACCCACCCTCACCTTGACCCAGGTCCTAAAGCCCCGAGTGAGGGGCACGTGCTCACGTCCTTGCAGCCCATGCCCCTGTGTCTGGGCTGGACAGTGAGACGCATGTGGGTGCGCTCCCTATTTCTGACACCCGTTGTGACGGGCTGTGGGAGAGTGTGACAGGCAGCGGGACCGGCACGTGCAAAGGGTTGGAGGTGCGACTGAGCTGGGAGGATTCGGGAACCTGGGGTCCATCCCGTGTCTGCAGGGACAGACAGTGAGGCAGAGTCGCAGCTGAGGAATCTAACCTTCATCCTCAGGACATTGGGAGCCTTGGAGATTTGTGGACAGAGAGAGACACAGTCTGAGATAGGGTTCTAAAAACTTTCCAGAAGTTCCTCAGAGGGAAAACAGACTGGAAGAGAGATGGTAATAGGCACAAGAAGGTTGAGCTCTTGTCCAAGCTCACACACCTGGTAAGAGGGAGGACTGAGGACTGAGACACAGGGATAATGCAGCCATCCCAGGCTACCTCGCTCCAGACGCGGGCAGGGTCATTGGGCAACCTGAGCTGTGGTTGTTTGATTCTCATGACTTTCTTCTTTCTACAGATTCCCATTACTGTAGAATCATTAGGGAGCCTGAACTGGTGACTGTCACTAATCCTCACCCCACCCATGTGTTCTGTGGGTTACCGGTGTCCGTCGGCTGTTCTGACACTCTCCTACCCTTGGGCCCTGGGACCTTGAACAAATATAAAGCCCAGGGTCCTAAGTCTAGGCCGAGGGTTGTATGAAGCTGTTGGCAACCAATAGAAATGAGATGTGGAATGTTGTCCCAGCCATCATTACCAATGTGTATATTGCAAAGGCTTGGAGAGGAGGCTGAGCTGGTTCAGGGACCTGCAAGTCTCCTCCTTTCTTACGGAAACAGGGAGCAATGGGGCAGAAGTCAGACCTGAAATGGCTCCTTGAGAAGCTGAGTGTCCATTCTTTATGTGATAGTAACAATGGGAGGTTTGGAGTGGAAAAAGAAGGTGATCTGATCCAGGTATCATCAGGCTCCCCGTGGCTGCAACGTGGAAAACAGACTGTAAGGTGAGGGACGTGGTAGGAAGACCAGAGAGGAGGCTACTGGGATAGTCCAGGTGAATGCGGTACTAGGGCCGGGGTGGTGGGTGGGAGAATTGGTTGGATCTGGATCAGTTTTTTAAGTAGGGCTACCTGAGTTTTCTGATTTTGCAGATGTGAGAGAGAGAGGTCAGGGATGATTTGAAGGTTCGATTTTGGCAGCTGGAAGAATGAAAGGTCCATCAACTGAGATGGGGAGGTTCAGAGTAGGTATAATTTCAATGGGAATATCAGAAGTTTTATTTTTGGCCTACTAAGAATATGAGAATTTTCAGAGAAAAATTCAGGGCAACTGGAACCATAGGTCTGGAACTGTGAGGAGAGGTTCAGGATGGATACTTCTCCAAAAAGTAGTGGACGGTATGTGGACCAGGGTAGAGCTGTGGGTCACATTTAATAGAGGGGAAGCCTAGTCATGATGGTAATGATAATAGTTTCCCAGGAAGGGGAGGGGAGGGCCAAAGACCAGGTCTTCTGCTTGGGCCCCTGGTTGTGGGAAGTGAGTATCACAACACAGGTCCATGGGGAACATCAGAGAGAAAGTATGGTCTGGCATGTGGGCACAACTTCTCGGGGATGAGTAGACATGAAATGGATGTGGAGGCATAAGAATAATTCAGACAAGATGATGCTAGGGCCGGTGCTTATCTACCTCTTACAGACTCACCGGGATTTTACTATAACTCTTGGTGGGACCTGGGGTGTTTCTGTCATGCTGTCAGGTTAGCTTAGGGGCATGTTTGGGACTTACTGGACCTGGGTAGAGAGCCACTAGGGTTGGACCTTGAATGAAATTGGTTAGTAAGATGAAGGTTGTGCCTGGTGAGGGGACTGTAAGTGTGGCCCAGAAGTGGAAGACAGCCGTGAGTATCTAGGGAGATCTACAGCTGATTCTTATTTTATTTTTATTTTTTATTTTTTTTTGAGACAGAGTCTCGCTTTGTTGCCCGGGATAGAGTGAGTGCCGTGGTGTCAGCCTAGCTCACAGCAACCTCAAACTCCTGGGCTCAAGCGATCCTCCTGTCTCAGCCTCCCAGGTAGCTGGGACTACAGGCATGCACCACCATGCCCGGCTAATTTTTTCTATATATTTTTAGCTGTCCAATTAGTTTCTTTCTATTTTTGGTAGAGACAGGGTCTCGCTCTTGCTCAGGCTGGTCTCGAACTCCTGAGCTCAAACGATCCGCCCACCTCGGCCTCCCAGAGTGCTAGGATTACAGGCGTGAGCCACTGCACCCGGCCCACAGCTGATTCTTATTGAGGTTGAAGCAAAGAACAGAGTCGGTGTAGAGGCCTTCATGGTATGACTCTAGGCTGCCTCTGGCAGTAGAGACAATGAAGGTCTGGGATAGTACTGAATCTTGTTTGAATTTGCCAGCCACTGTCTAGGCCCTATGTGCTGAGTAACCTCCTTGGGCAGGCCAAGGAGATGCCCATGGTCTGGGGCAGGGAGTGAGCTGTGGCTGCAGGAGTGAGGCTGTGAGAGAGGCATGATGGAAAGAGTGGTGTACACATGCAGAGGAAATGTGAACTAATGGCCCCAGGGCCCTGGCATTGAGGACATAAGGGTGAAGTGTGAACTCAGACCATTGGTTGTATCTGGGATCCAGGGTCTGGAGGATCCTGGGGGAATTGCGTTACAAGAGAGGGTGGTTGCCTGCAAACCAGGCTCAGTGCTTAGATGGTTGCCCACCCGCCTGTTGTTGCTGCAGGAGGACACAGCAAACAATGGGGCCGAGAGGAGACAGTGGGCATCAGTATCACTGGGGCTTGTGTTCTCTGAGGTGGGGAGATGGGGAGAAGGGTGAGTAGGGGATGGATGCATGGGGGTGTGAATTTGGGGTCCTGGGAGAGATGCTGATCGTGTAATAAACTGTCCCCATCATGGCACAGGTGTGTAACCTTTGAGGTTGTGGCTATGGGAATGCACCTGTGTGAGAGAGGTGTGGTTCAAAGAGTGATGTGCTAAGAGGGAGTGTGCACTGATGGCCCCATGGGTGAATTAGAGTCATAAGGGTGAAGGGGGTGAGCCCATGTTACTTTTGTCCTGGAGGGATGATCTTGGGAAACTGAGGGGTCTTTCCTGATAAGACCAACGTCAGATCACCCACACCCTCTCCATGGCCACTTCTCTCCCTAACCAGTGTTTGTGACACCCACCACATTGTCAAGAGGCAGTGTGCCCTAGTGCTAGGCCCACAGCTTAGATATTTATTGTCTGTTTGTTCACCTGCCCATTGTTGTAGAAGGACACAGTATCTGGAACTGTGGGGAGAGAACAGGCATCAGTCACAGCGGTGCTGGGTATCTACTCTGAGGTGGGGAATAGGGCAGCCAGAGGATGGATATGGGGGAAGAGGGATGATGAACTTAAGGTTTAATCATGAGAAGCTGATCATGGATTGAACTATTCCCATTATGACAGGGTATGACCTTTGAGGACGTGGCCATCTGTTTCTCCCAGGAAGAGTGGATGCTCCTTGATGGGGCTCAAAGGCTCCTGTACTGCAGTGTCATGCTGGAGAACTTTGCACTTGTAGCGTCCCTGGGTAAGCTTGTCCCATCTCTCTTAGTGTCCTGATGGTCTCTGCCTTCTTTTTCACTCCAGAATTAGCTCTGTCTCAGGAGTCTGGCTTTTAGCCTAATAGATTTCATCTTTCTTGCCTTTTCCCTTTCAGGGTGACTGTGTCAAGATCCATGGTACTTTGTGCCCCAGTTTCTGCCCCTTTCCTCCAGCTGCCATTTCATCATGGCCACTTGTGCCAGGAATTGCCAGCATTGTCATGGTCACTATTTATATGAACTATGGGCTATTTTTGCAAGACCCTCCTTTTTCTGTAATATTTTCCTTTCTGCATACTATTGTATGCCATGTTGTTCTAAGCCAGGACTGGTCACTCACTTTTCCTCTTTCCTTAGACTTCCATCATTCATGTCCCATGTGGTTACAGGGAAAGCTCTGGTTGCTTTACATGGTAGACATTGTAAGATGGTCTCAGAAGAGGCCTGGTCCTAGTGAGTGGCAACTGAGGAAAGGCAAGACATCATGGTTGTGTTCAAATTACACCAGGAACCTGTGGTGTGCCCAACTATATTTTGGTGCAAGTGCCACTGGCCATAACTCATTTTTATTTCCACTTCCCTATACTTAATACCTTGCCAACTTGTCTTATCATCTGTCACTTCCAGCTTCTGGCTACCTCCACCCTTGTGGCCTCTACACATCACTTGTTCCTGTCCACTATTCACTGTATAGCGTTCTTCAATTTGATTCAGTGTTGTGAGGTATGCACACATCCTCAAATAATCCTTGATCACCAGCTATTTAGTTCCAATTGGATTTTCCTGGGACTGGACACTGGCAACCTGCATGGCACACACACGCCACTAACAAACAAGGTCCTGCTGAAGGCTTTTGGCAGAGAGTGAGTGGGAGACCCTGCGTCTCCTCACATACTGTACCCATCCTTGTGTTCTTTGTTTGGTGAGGTCTCCCCTATTCTGTAATCTTCAAAGGCTCAGTACTTCAAAGCAGCCTATATTCTTCAATCTTCCCCCGGTTCTCTTGTTCTCCATACAGTCCCACAGACTCATTACTTGTATCTCACACATTTTTGTGATAGATTTTTTTGTCCCCTCCCACCAAAGTCAACATGCATTTCATCAGCATGTCTCTGATTTCAGGTTATTGCCATGGAACAGAGAATGAGGTGATAACCTCTGAGCAGAAGGTATCTGTAGAGGGAATGTCACAAGTCAGGATATCTGAGGCGGGTCCATCTACACAGAAGACTCAACTCAGTGAGATGTGTGTCCTAGTCTCAAAAGACATCTTGCACCAGGCTGAACACCAAACCACATACCCTGTGCAGAAATCATACTTGGATGGCACAAGCATGAGAGGCTTCTGTTTCAGTGCAAATCTTCACCAGCACGAAAAGCATTACAGTGGAGAGGAGACCTGGAAAAGGGATGTGGATGGGGCCATGTTTGTGACAGGCTGTGGGTTCCATGTGTCAACAAATCCTTTCACTTGTGGGAAGGACTTACCAGCCACCATGGACTCTCTACAGCACCAGGTTACTCCCAATGGTGAGGAGCCACACAGTAGAAGCAGCAAGTGTGTGCAAGCATTTTTGAGTGGAAGAAGTTATTACAAGTGGGATGAATATAAAAAAGCATCAAGCCACAAACACACACTTGTTCAACATCAGAGTGTCTGCTCTGAAGGTGAGTTTTATAAGCGTAGCAAATATGAGAAAGCTTTTACCTTCAAGAACACTCTTGTTCAGCACCAGCAAATTCACACTGGAAAAAGGACATATGAGTGCAGTGAATGTGAAAAATCCTTTAGCAAAAAGTGCCACCTGATTGTACACAAACGAAGTCACAGTGAAGAGAGGACTTATGAATGCAGTGAATGTGGAAAAGCATTTATCCATAAATACAAACTCATTCGCCACCAGAGGCATCACACAGGAGGAATGCATTATGAGTGTGGTGAATGTAGGAAAGCCTTTAGCTACAGATCCAACCTCATTGAACACCAGAGAGTTCACACTGGAGAAAGACCTTACAAGTGTGATGAGTGTGGGAAATCCTTTAGACAAAGCTCTAGCCTCTTTCGACACCAAAGAGTTCATACTGGAGAAAGGCCTCATGAGTGCTATGAATGTGGGAAATCCTTTAGACAAATATTCAATCTCATTCGACACAGGAGAGTTCATACTGGAGAAATGCCATATCGGTGCAGTGACTGTGGGAAAGCCTTTAGCTGCAAATCTGAACTCATTCAACACCAGAGAATTCACAGTGGAGAAAGACCCTATGAGTGCAGTGAATGTGGGAAATCCTTTAGACAGTTCTCTAACCTCATTCGACACCGTAGTGTTCACACTGGTGATAGGCCTTATGAGTGCAATGAATGTGAGAAATCCTTTAGCCGTAAATTTATCCTCATTCAACACCAAAGAGTTCACACTGGAGAAAGGCCTTATCAATGCAGTGAATGTAGAAAATCCTTTACCCGCAAATCTGACCTCATTCAACACCGCAGAATTCATACAGGCATAAGACCTTATGAGTGTGGTGAGTGTGGCAAATCTTTTAGACAACGCTCTGGCCTCATTCAACATCGGAGAGTTCACACTGGAGAAAAGCCTTATGAGTGTAATGAGTGTGGGAAATCTTTTAGCCAAAGTGCTAGCCTCATTCAGCACCAGAGAGTACACACTGGAGAAAGGCCTTATGAATGTAGTGAATGTGGGAAATCCTTTAGCCAGAGCTCCAGTCTTATTCAACACCAGAGAGGTCACACTGGAGAAAGACCTTATGAGTGCAGTGAATGTGGAAAACCCTTTACCCACAAATCCGACCTCATTCAGCACCAAAGAGTTCACACTGGAGAAAGACCTTATGAATGCAGTGAATGTGGGAAATCCTTTAGTCGCAAATCTAACCTCATTCGACACCAGAGAGTTCACACTCAATAAAGTCCTTAAATATGCAGGGAATGTGCTGTTGTTTTATTAAATATAATAGCACTGGAGGAGGCTGTGCGGAAGCCATCTACCTATATTTAAACTTCATTCACAAACATCTATAATGGGGGGATTCTTCATAAATTTCAAGTATGTGGAAAATTTTGAGATAATTGCATTTTTTTTTAATTCTAAAAGCAGCAAGAGAAAATAATTGCAATTTCTTATGTGCCCAGGGCCATAGCCTGATGTCATTCCCAGTTTCTGGGGCTGAAGCCATTTCACCTTTTCCACCTGCCAGGTCCACATCATGTGCTCAGAGAAGAAAACCTCTACACTCTCCCATTTGCTGGGGGAAATTATGAATAGACGAAGCCCTTGGGGTGGGGGGGCAGTCCTCATTTCCTTTTCTCTGACTTTAGGTCAGGGACCTAACCCAGTTTTAGCCCAGAGGACTTGATCTGAGTTGTGTTGTCAGCTCACTAAGAAGGATTAACTTTTTCAGGGACATTGTTGGTCTCACATCATGCTTGTGATGAGATTTTTCAGGTTCTAATTCACCAGCCTGGAAACTGCTTGGTGCACATTGCTCTGGTTTATGATCCTTTTATAAAGGTTTTGAAAACTCAACTTTAATCTTGGGGGTTCTATTCATTATGTGGCGTGACTGGTAAGCAGAATAGTGATGTGAGCATGAAGGAGTGAACATTTTGTGGAGATCCCAAATTTTCTGTGCTTCAGAAGAGATAATGTGATGGCAGAAAACAGCTCTCCGTCCAGTATTAGTCTAATCTACGTTGTTGCCCAAAGCCTCAAGGTAGAGACTACAAAGCTTTGTGTTCCTATTTTGTGGCCTAGTGCCAGGATTTTTGTGAGATCAGAGGTCACTATGAAAAGGAGGCAGTTGTGACAACGCCTAGTGCTTCTATGAACGTAAATTTTGTTCACTTGTTCACAAGTGATATCATAATTCCTGGCATTGTTGAGGGGGAACGCTTCCCCAGGTCCTGCAAAGGAGCCACGTGCCAAGATGTGTAGGACTGTATGGGCTAGTGTCATTTGTTGTTAGACTACAGGTGTCACGTGCAACTCTAATTGGCACAGAAATTCTGCGTTAATAGGGAGTGGAGGAGACTCAGTAAATTAGATGGAATGTGCCTCTTCTAAAAGGACATCCACAAATGTTCCAGTGAATATGGCTATATGGAATCTCTGTGTGCAGAAATTCTCAGGATCTCTATAACTGTATTTCCTGTAGCTGAAATCATTGTCAGAAAATAATCTAAAGGTTTTGTGGCTTCGTATATCCTCTCTGGCCTGTTCATCTCAAGGCCATTGTTATTGAGGTAGGAAAACAAGAATAAAGAAAAGGATGATTCCGTAGTCCAGGGATATGGTTTGTGACTGAGCCAGTATTCCTGTTGATTCAGGTGGCAACAGCCTTCATTACTTACCAATATTTGCTGCCACCAAGATAAGGTTGCCTCTTCCAGGGCATGAAGAGAGAGTTGGTGGCGTCCATATGAGGTCACCAACCTGACTTTCCAAAAAAAAGTGGGACATTGGGTTCTTAATTTTGAATCACTTTGTAAAGCTTTATGAAAGATACAATTTATATAATTAATATGCAACTAAGTGTACTTATCCAAAGGGTACAGTTTGGTAAAGCTATGAAACCATCATCATAATCATGAAAATTAACTTAATCTGTCACCTGTATATTTACTTTGTGCCATTTTATCATTCTCTCCCTGCCTTTCCCAGCTCTCCACACATCGATTTCCTTTACATTAAATTAGTTTGCATTTTCT